AAAAAGATTTAGAATTTTAGTTACATTAATATAAAGATTAATTATTTGCTTTCTCTTCCGGTGCTTTTTTACCACTACTTTTTCTTCCGAAGCTTTTTTTACTTGCCATAAGCCTTCAAAATTTTGGGAAAAGTCCAGGAAAGTTTCTTGAGATCTTTCGAGTTATATATTAAAAGTTATATTTTAGAGTTTTAAAGAAAAAATAGAAATTGCTTCATTTTGAAAGTATCATCCATTATAATTAGCTTCATACAGTAAACACGCAATTATCCATGCTCCAGAACTAGGACAAATTTTGGTGAAATTTTTCATGATATTTGATAAACTATGAGACTGTCAGACGATATTTTGTCCGAGTACATTTTTGTAGCAGGAGATTTCTTCGAGTGTAATAACAAATTTTGTTCGAGTCAGTTGAGAACGAGCAGTAGTCAAAATGCTGTTCGATCTTAAAAAAACGTGACAAAAATTGTTTCAGAAATTTACGGTATTCTGAAGAACTAATCCAAAAAATTAAGAAACGATTTACGGAGAAAGGGACCTGAAAATGGGACAATGGCCCCACAGACATTACGGTCACATAATGAACTTCAGTGCTTCAGGTCCGCCAACATTTTTTCCCCTTTTCTTGTGGAAATTAAAATGTTTTTATCTATCTCCATTCGCGTTACTCTCCGGATTTCTCACTAGGCTGCCTCTCATTCCTCCCAAAAAGTAAAACATGTAGGCCCCATTTTTTAAATTCTTCTGTGTATAGGGCAAATTGAAGGTCATCACGAGTCACAGAGCGAACAAATCTTAAAAATGGCGATTAAAAAATGTCAGCCAGTCGCCCCCCGATCACAACTTTTTTCGCCGAAAATGCACCCTATAAGCATTCTATTATAGAATTTTTATAAAAATTTTATATTGTTCAGAAAATTACTTTATTTTACTCTTCTTTCTTAAAGTTTTTCTTCATTTTAGAAAGGAACCTTAAAAAGTTTACTCTGTATTGAGAAAAGCCTTAAAAGAAATGCCTCCATTATTAAAATCAACAGTTTTATTAATCGTTCAAAATTTTCAAGTTTTAAAAATGCTACATCTGGCTACTGGCTAAATTACCTAATTTTAACGGTCACTCTTTGAAATTCAAACTCTCGAAATTATTTGAGGATAAAGAAAGAGGTTATTTTTTTTAAAATTGCTATTTGATTTCGTCGAATTTCTTAGAATTTGAAGTAAAATATAAATTTTAAAGCCCACAGAAAGTTAAAAAAAAATGGTCGCCAAGAAGCGAAATTGTATCGCCAAGTTTGGAGTAGCAAAAGGAAAAATTCTTGGAGAAAACTGAAGCTGGGATCACTCAAATTGCATTAGTCGCTTCACAGAAGCGCCTCTCGTTAAGTGGCGCACTTCCTCTTGGGGGTTAAAGATTGGGGAGGGGGTGGCTAATTGGACCTGGGGCTTCACGTTACTCCAATGGTCAAAACGCCATCTGGTGGACAGAGTAAGTGTGCGCCCAATCTCCTTTTTCTTTCCCGATCTTTTTCCTTTTTTCAATGAAACTTTCCCCTCAACATTGTTGGTAAGTTGTTGTGACTGCTGAGTGGATTTTTTAAGGCTCGGAACAATTTTATGAGGAAGGGAGAGGCATACTACCACAGCAATGTCATTACTATTACTATTAAGTTTCCTATTACATAAGGAATACAGAATTTCTCTGGAATGAAAATGCGAAATGTGCAGAACAGGAACTATCTATCACTCGTCCATACGTTTCAGCATATCAAACTCGCATCGCAATTTGGAAATTCTCAAAAAATAGAATATTCTTCATAAATTTGTAAAGATTTAAATTTTTTTTTAAATATTTACAAACTTTTAGTATATATTTCAAAAATCAAGAAATGTTAAGTATGTATTTCATAAATTATACCTTTAAAAAAAAAAAAAAAAAAAAAAAAAAAAAANAAAAAAAAAAAAAAAAAACAATTATTTAATTTTTTTTTAAAAACTAAAAAAAAATTATTATTTTTTATAAAAATTTTAAGATAAATTAAATGTTTATTTATTTAGAAAACTCATGATTTTTTAATGATCTCTTAAAAAATGAATGATTTATTAATAATTTTTTCAAAAATCATGATGCTCTACGTAAGTATTTTAGGAATTATACAATTTTTCAAAATTGTTAAAAAAATAATAATTTTAAAAACTTTCTCAAAAATTAATTAATTTTAAAACAAAAGTTTTTAAATAAATATCTTTAATATTATAAAATTTAGAATAAATTCAAAGTCAAAAATATTTTTTTTTCAATTTTAAATTTAAAGTTTTAATTTTTTTTAGTTATTTAAATAAAGGGTTAATAACTATTTAGCTTTTTAACAACTATTTTTAATTAATTATAATTTTGAAAAAAAAATTTCTAATAAATATTTCTTAAATAGCTTGTTATCTTTTCTAAAAATGAATAAATTTTAATATTTAATAATTGGCAAACTTAATTAAATAATTTTGCTACTGGTCTTTATGCATTCTGGGAATCCAACAACTCCGATAATGACTACAAAAATATTATTCTTGTGTTATAAAAGTTGCCAGAGTCCGAATTCTTCACTTTTCAACAGTATTGGAAACTTAAAAACATTTTAATATTTAATATTCTTATATTTAATGAATAAATACATTTTAATATGTGATAATTGGAAATCTTATTTAATTACTGTTACTATTAATCTTTATGCATTCTGAGAATCCAACAATTGCGACAACGACTGCTACATTCCTCCCAACTTTTCAACATTCTTTCCAACTTAAAACACAGTTCTCAATTTTAACACTTTTTGAAAATGTTCAGGCAGAAAATGAAGGAATTTTTCAATTATCGTTTTAATTTTTATGACAATAATTATTTTATTATTATCTTTATTATTTTTTATGCAATTATTCTGAAATTAATAACTAATTTTTTGTTCGAACAGGTGAAAAGGAGATACACAATTTAAATAAAAATATGTAATGAAATAAAAGAAGAGGATATCTAATGTTAAGAATTAAGTTCTCATTACTGGAAAAACAAAATGAATAGATAAAATAGCAAAAACTTTACGATGTTTCCAAGCATTTGAGGGTCATGACTTTATCACATTTCAACAGTTTCGGGGGTGTCGGGGGATCAAAGTTCGACTCAGAGAGATTTCTAAGAGGGTTCGTGTGATGGCAAACCTAACCCTTGGAGCAGCGATGAGGTCTAAAAAATTCATATAAGAGATCAATGGCAGCATATTTTTTTCATAGAAGTTGAAAAACGGCAGTTTTATTCGGAAGTATATACAGTTGGATAGAAGACACATCTTTTACAAGTAAAGACACCTTTTTTCCTTCTCCCTTTTTCCTTTTTTTTTTTCCTGAACAGTTTAATTTTTGCATAAATAAAAGGAAGATGAATTCAGAATTTATCTTTGAATAAAAAATTTAATAGAGTTTAGGTTGACGTATTAAAAATATTCAAATGGTAAAAAGGACAAAGATAAAAATAAAGGAAACAAAATAAAACGAAATAAAATCAAGATAAGAATAAAACGAAATAAAATATAACGATAAAAATTAAACGAAGTAAAATGAAATAAAACACGACGAACCTTAAGTAAAAAGTTCTTTCATCGTCGTCTTGCCTAAAAAACATCTATTCATACTCGATATCATTTTTTAAAAAAAAAGATATTTAATACTTTTAAACCACCACCTGAAAAATGTAGAATTCATCTTATTTTTTATTTGGAATCAACTATAATTTTGCAGAAATTGGAGTCAAAGATAATTTATTAGACTCCAATTCTGGCTCATTGAAAGCTAGGCCTCGTACGTTAAATGAAGAAAAGTTTTTAATCTTGCGAAAATTATTTAGACAATTATGCGAAGAAAGATACTTCTCGAATGAATACTGTGATAATTATTTAAATCATGCCTTATATCAAAATTACTTAGTTATATTTGGTAAAATAATTAATTTGCAAAATTAATACATTTATCACAACATTAAATATGATATTTTATAATTATGAAATGTAATACCTATAATTATAATAACACATAAAAAAAAAGAAATACATTGCTTGAAGTGAACTATCATTGAGTAATGCTGTTAATACTTTTCTAGTTTTCCTTTAAAACATTTAATGAAAGGTAATCCGTAGTTGGAATTGGTATCTTGGAGAAGTCTGGAGTTGGAGTCGAATATTTAAACTACGAAATTTCCAGATGGGTTTCTTGTAGCTATTTGCGAATGAAAACATATCTCGTTTGAGAATATTTTTTAAAGTATAGTTTGGCTTGGTACGTAATTATGAAAATATTTAAGTCATGTATTGTCATGTTAAGTCATGTAAAATATTTAAGTTATTATGTCATCAAATTTTGTGCCATAGCAGTTTTCTACTTTTTTTTCTTTTTATATATATTTTTTTAAAAATAAATTTGAAAATCGTATCAATTGAAAAGAATGGATAGATTTCTGAAGGAAAAAAAAAAAGGTAGAATAGAGATTTAAGTGGAATGGTTAATTAAATAATGTAAAAATCTTTTTTTTCGTGTTTTTATCGACGAAACAAAAAATAAATTAAAGAAAAGATAAAATGAAAAACAGACAAACAGGAGAAAACAGAAAAGTTAATCAAACTCTTAATGAATTCGTTATAATGAGGTGTTGTACTTCAAATACTCGGATATATTTTCACTAAATGAGTGGTTCGTTGTAACGAGGTGCTGTTACACATCAAACACTCAGACATATTTCCACTGAATGCGTTGAAATAAAATATTAAAATTACCGTTTCTTATATCCAAATTTTATTTGTGGAAAAATGTTTACAATGTGTAAAATGTTTCCTATTTTATCTTGAAATAAAGTAACTCAATATTTACCCTGGGGGATATCATTGTTTTATCTTCACTTCACCAGATTTTGGCGATCATTTGGGGCGATATCGTTGTGGCAACCCTGGAGGGGAGCGCAAGCGCCGTCGGCTGAATTTCAAAGCAAAGAGGCGCACAGTTCCATATTGCTCTTCCTTCGGAACGGAGAACACTCTCTCCTGTTTACAGACAAAACCCTTCACGTGACACGCTCCTGTTTTTCCTCTTTTTTCTCGGGAGTTTCTTCCGCTTCGGCGACTATGACTTTTCACCGGATTGTGCGCAATTGTTGTTTCGGTGCTTTTGAGAACTGTGTTTAAGAAATGAAAGTTTATTTATAAATAAATATCGGAGAATTCGATTTATGAACAAGAAACAATATTTCTTATTTTTGTAAAAGAAGAACAGTGGAATTATTCTTGGTTGAAATCGTTCAAGAAAGAAAACAACGTAAAAGGTGAATTATTTTTATGACTATTTATATTTCTTACTTTGGAACCTACGTCAATATGCAAGTCGCCTATTACGTCTGTTTATTAAAATTGTTTACGTTAGTTGTCACTAAAAATAGTACACATTTGAAATTGATTTCACACTAAAATTTAGTTAACGAATTGAGGTAGGAGAATTAATTTATAAATAAATTTGTAAAGTTAATAATTGTTTGAAAAAAGTAGATAGTTTATACAAACTAAATTAATAGGTATTCTAATTTAAAAAAAAAAAAAGAATTATGTCTTTTTTCCAAAGATCTATTAACAAAATTTAATAATTAATTGATTGGGCTTTACAGGGTAAAGAATATTCTATTATGGGACAATCTAAGAGCAGTTATAAACTTTCTTCTTCAAATGCAATAAATTGCGCGTAGTTCATTTCAATTTGTTGGCAATGTATGCGAAACTAGCTTAGAAAATTGATCACGTATTGTGCACATTTGCCATGCATATTTAATCGAGAGATAGACGTTGATATATAAAATTATAAGTTAGTACGAAAATGATTTAATTTTTAACTCTGCGCTTGCTAACTTTTGTAGAGATTTTTGTCAATTGTGGTTCTAAGTTTAACAAGTTTATATTAATTATCAACACAAATTGCTGCCTTCACGGCTATCGCTTAAATGCGTACATTCACAATAATGCTGTTACAATAATTTTTCATTCACAATAATTTTATTCTGTCATGCATAAAATTGTCTTGAATATTGGCCGTGCATACTTAGTTTATCAAGATTTTTTTTGATCTGGCATCGAACATTTTATGATCTACTGCATCATAATAACAGCTGACTGTATAACGATGAATTCATATATGTGCCTTTATAAGATTATTCAGCATAAATTTATAACTTTAAAAAAAGTCTTTTTTTTAATAATTCGATTTTTATGAAACTATTCTACCAATTTCGTTCATATTTTGCATGTTGCCATATAAAATTTACATTAGATAAAATGATTATAGAATTATGTACCTTACAATTCAAAAAGTAATCGACAATAATTAAATAAAATAATGAAAAAATTTTTTTTTTGAAAGTTACTTTTTTGCATAGCGTCACTTTTTGGTCAAATAATTGTGTGCGAAACTTTTTCGATTCGCTTAAAAGTTATCGAGATTTGGCGAAGTACGCAAAAAGTAAAATTATTTCTTGGAGGTCTAACTTTAGACAGGTCTCCAGATCAAACTATAGGGACCTTATCTTTCAAATTGCGGCTACCCACATATTTTAAGGATCAGGAATCCAAATTGGTCGAAAAAAGGTATGTTTATTCAGAGAAAATGCGTTTTGTTCCGGATTTCGTTACTTAAAATGCCGCCTGTACTAATTGATAGTATAATTAAGCTTAGACCTTCAAGCCATCGAGCCTTAGTACGTGAAAACCCAATCAGTAAATCAAAAGTTATTCAAGGTGTTCCATTTTTTTTTTTATTTTGCGCTCTGTATATTGATTATCAATGATGCTATTAAAAGGTATTCACATTATCTGCTAAGATTGAAAAGTTATTGTCTCGATAGTAATCCGTGTCAAAGATGGGTTCTTAGACAGCCGAATTTACTCGATGAGTTATTGCAATTCACTCGTTTCTTGGTATAAATTACATGATATTGAAAAATTCGTGGAATATTTAAGTAGCTTTTAAATTCTGAACTCCGTTAATCTCTTAGTTTGTTTGTTAGTTTCCGGTAAGCATGGTAACCATGACCTCGAAATAATTCAATTGTGTTTTCTCTTATTTTACGTCTTACGTAGTTTATAACATCGTTTGGTCAAACTGTGTAAGTCCCTTTACGTTTTGAAGAGTATAGTTAACTCGATCTATTATGCCATCAGATTCCACATTTATCAACTAATCTCAGTTTTATTTAGTTCTCCTTTGCCATGAAGCATATGTAATTTTAGCTATAAAATCACTGTTTTATTGTTGTAAATTAATTTGTCTAAATTATAAAAAATTATGCCCACTGTAACAATATAAATTATTTTTACTGCAATGCATTATTTTTTTACAGCATTGCAAGTTTATTTCCCGTTTCTGTTTCTGCACAAAATGAAATTGTGCTGTTATATGACATGAAATTAAATGAGTCGATGTGCGCCGGCATAAAATAAAATTGTGTCAACGTAAAATAAAATTGTGCCGATATGCAAGGATATAGAAAGAACATCTTGATATAATGGTTGAATGTATAAACATTTCATTGCATAGCGTGAGATTTACGTTATTACCTATTTTATTTTTTTGGTTATTTTATTATTTCATAAATTGGTTTTATTTTATGTCTGCTTTTTTTTTTATTTCCTTCCTTATTTGCGCTTATTTATCTCCGATTCTCATTATTAAAACCCTTGGTGTCCTTACATACATTTTGAAGGACACCAAATCCCTTTGGAACACTGTAAGAATGTTGTAAAAATAATTTTTATTGTTTTAGTCCTGACAATGAATTAAGCAGTTCGTCATGTATAATTCTAACTTGCGTTTCACAACTTTTTCTCCTCAATCATCGAATTATTTTAATTTTGTTTTCTCTGTCATATTAATTAAAAAACGTAGCAAAATAATATTTTTGTTCCTTAAATACTTTTAGAAAAATTCCATTAAAAAGTCCTCCACGAAGGTTATTTTCTCCCAATACTTGATCCAGGAGTTCTCTGGTCTTCTGGATTGGGTTCAAAATTACAAGACAACGGAGTTGAACTTTGGTAGCCGTACACTCAAAATTGGGTCGGTTGTTAAATGATGGTTATAAAGTATAAAGTAAAAAAAAGACATGTTTATGAAATGCAGTGACTAAGATTTCTGGAGGAGTCTCAAAACAATGGAGTCGGAATCGAAGAAAGATCTTTAGGAGAATGAGTCAAAAAATTTTGACTGACTCTTGACTACGGTTAGTTAAAAAATTGTTGGGTATTTTGGTTTAAAGGAAATAAATATTTTGGCAAGTATTTTTAATTATGTGAACAATAATATTATTCAAATGAATATTATGAAAATTATTTAAATTGCGACTAATCACAAACTTAATTTAACACAATTGATCGATTTATAGCATATATATGATTGAACTATTGAAAAAGAATATAAATTCAAAGACTAAATTCATTTAGTTCACTTAAAAAGTTAGTTATAAATAAATGTAAACCAATTCTACTTGTCATCTGCAATAGTAACCTACTTTGTTCTAGAATTTTCCCAGAAAAAACTTTTTTCTTATAAAATTTCTAAGAAATTTGTGGAGTGTGCGCAGAAGATAGTGTCCTTTTTTCAGTTCAGTTCTTTTTTCATAATGCTACGGTTCTTTTTTATAATGGTTTTGCAGTTTATTTTTATAATGGTTTTGTACAATTTCAACATTTTGCACAAATAGATTTTGTTATTACAGTGACCCCGTCACATCTTAAACTAAACTTAAGCAATTACTGCTAATAATTACAGAGGATTTGTTGATTTAACATGTCCCTAATTGCAAAAAACAAGGGATATGAGAAGCTTACCCATTATTTATTTCATTATTTTTTCTTATTTTATAACCGTTTTTGAGCAGTCTATCCTATCTTGTGCTTACGACTACCAATGTTCAATTCCGTAGCCTTGTAATTTTGAAGTCAATTCAGAAAACAAGGGAGCTCCTGTATCAAGTATTATGTGAAATTTATTTTCGTCAAATACTTTATAATTGAACAAACTCGCATTTAAGTTGCATGGAGAGGAAAACAACGAAAACCTCCCACAGTCAGCCCAACGGCAAAGGGACTCTAGCCTATGATCCGTATACTACTGAAGATATTTTACGTCTGCACTGTCGTAGTGTCGTGCACAAGCCAGGTGTGGAATTCGTATCGACCAGCCACTGTTGGGATTCGAACCTGGTTCACCTCATTGGGAGACGAATACTCTACCTCCTGAGCCGCCACGGCTCTATTGTGTCATTATTAAAATAATCTGGAAATAATCAGTTAATTCAATAATTCTTATTTTATTCGCTAAGTCATTGCTAAACTTAAGAAAGAGTCACTTTGATGACAAAAAGGTGAAACGTGAACAGTTATTCCTCCATTTGTCTTGTGAGCCACCATGACTTTTCTTGTCTGAATCATATTTGCTTATTTGAATTCATACCAATCGTATTAACAAAGAGGCAGTTATTTTACATTAAATCGTTCAATTCGAAACGTTCTAGAATTCTAATAAAAGTTTTTTTTTGTTCTTATTTTAAATTGAGTGATGATGAGTTTCACAATATTTTGTGAAGTTTATTTCTTCAACTGTTGTGATATGTAATTTTAACTTTGTGTACTCCGATGACTCTGCACTCTGAGGCTCCGTCAACAGTCACCACTCCCAAAATAAAAATTTCCTATACCTTAATAATTAACAACCACAATACTTAAAGAATTTCAAAAACAACGTAAAACTACTGCATTTGTATTTTAAATGATTTAGTGCTTATATTAGTTCAAACAGCCTTTTAAAATGCAAAGATTTAAATTATACACTTTTTAACTCTAATTGTGCGTATATAAACTTTGCTTATTATGAACTTTCCAATACCTTACTATGTATAAAAATCTAACAATGGTGTCGCAGTTTTCCATTGTCCGTGCATTTTTATTGGCCTGAAAATCACGTGGTAGGATCCAGTTTTTTCTAATTCAATTCCATATTGTTTTGGTTGTCATCAACATAAAATTAATAAAAGTCATGAAGGTATTGTTTTGCATGAAGTATTTCTGTATTCCAAATGCAAAGTTATTTTCCTACACGACTATTAAGACCAGGGCTCGAAAAAACTCAGAAATTTTACCTGTCCCCGAGGGCGTCTTGTCCAACAATGCACCCGTCCTCCGTTGAAACTAACCCGTCGCTTTTAAATAAATAAAAATATAATTTTCTCCTATTTATAACAAACATTTATATAAATTGTACAATGAATTAGTCGTTACTAGGTAT